TTATTTCTTTATAGCCTGGTGTCATACTCTCCATGGGAAGCTATCATGCTGACACTCAGTGGATTAGGGGCCCAGTATATCAATGAGAATGCCCAGATTAATCAAATTAAATCAATCAGAGTAAGCTTATTCTGCTTTCTTTACAACCAGTTGAGAAAAGTGAACGTTAGCACTGATATCTGTAGTTAAATATTCTATGCATTCTGTTTTCAGTCAATTCCTCATGCAACACCACTGTTCTCTGGTGGCTAGTCCCCGCCGGCCACCTTTGCTAAATGACCTTGAATGACATACCATTGGAAATTAAGTCTTTAAACACTACATAAATTGGACAAAGAACATTTTTTAAATTGCAGGCAATTTTTTAAGTATAATGAAATGAATAACTTCATTCTAACTTATACTATGATCATACCATCTCATTTCATCAGATATTTTGCTACTTGACACAAATATACTTTAAAAAGGAAAAAAACAATAAAATCACGAGAGTAAAAAAAGAGTAAGACAGAAAAAAAAATCACTAAACATAATTTTCACATTACCATATGAACAAGTTTATACCCGAAATTTTACTTTGAATACCTTTCCATCAGTGTCATTGCCTTCCCTTTAGAAATATTTTAATGAGTGCATGATTTTCCACCAAGAATAAATTCTACAGTTTACTGAACTCTTTCCTTATCCCTTAGTATTCAGGTTGTTGTTAATGTTTGTTTGTATTGCTATATATGTATGCAAAATGAATAGCTTTTATTTATAAAACAACATCTGTTTTAGAATCATATTTCCAATTCAAAAGTAAATAGGCCAATTTAACATTTTAAAGATTTACCACATATTTAAAGATTCTTGATGCTTAAAGACCTTATTTTCCCACTGAATGAAAAGATATATATATATTCGATGATCCAGGCCATTCAGCATGAGCTACAAATACAGAAATTATTACTCAAAGTCCTTGGCAGAAAAAGGTGATTAATGTCATGTGCACATTGGAAGACACATTGACATGTCTTGGGACAGCACTTGAGAAAACATGCTGAGATCTTGAGCTTCTGAAAAAGAGCTGAGATCATGTTCCTCATCCACGTTTGTTTTTATATTTACTAAGACAAGTTAGTTACCATCTTTAAATGTGTCTAATATGTGAAGTGTGAATAATAATGATTCTACCCCTTAGTTGTGTTTTAAATAGTAAATAATGTACTGATCTAAAGGTCACAACAAAATGCCGGGCTTATAAGGAGCCCTCATTAAACGTAAGCGACTTCTAACTTAGCAGAGTCCTGTGACATGGTGCACAGGAACATGTGCTCTGGAGACAAGCTGCCTGAATTTGAATTCCAGATCCAGCCTGTACCAGTTGTGTGACCTTCAGCCAGTTATTTGAATTCCCTCTATTGCCTCTGTTTCTTCGGGTGTAAAAGCTGGAATAACCATAGCACTTACAGCTAAGGGTTATTGTCCATATTACGAAATCATAAGTGTCTAGGACAGCGGTTCTCAACCTGTGGGTCGCGACCCCTGTGGCGGTGGAACGACCCTTTCACAGGGGCCGCCTAAGACCATCCTGCATATCGGATATTTACATTCAATTCATAACAGTAGCAACATTACAGTTATGAAGTAGCAACGAAAATAATTTATGGTTGGGTCACAACATGAGGAACTGTATTTAAAGGGCCAGAAGGTTGAGAACCACTGGTCTAGGAGAAAATCTGGCTTACAGTAAACATTAAATAAATAGCATTTTAAACTAGAATTTACCAGTGGTAACAGCTTTCTACTCTGTTTTTAATTAGTGGTTCTTTTCATTAACAGGAAATAGATTGATTGGTAATAGCCACAAAGAAAACAATTACTTAATTTTTAAAAGATTATTTCCTTTTTATTACAAACTGCCCAGGCTAACTGCTACAAGAAGGGCATAAATGCTGTATATGGATAAAACAAAGACAGAATCATGCACACAGTGGCCAGTACACATCCTACACTCAAAAATATTGCTGAATATGATTTTATAATCCAATATTAAAATAAAGTCTTAAATAAAAACATTTATTTCAGAGCATTAAGAAAGACAGAATTTAGTATAATAGAATGCCTTTAAAATAAACTGATAAATATATTTTTTCATGTTAAATTCATCTTTTCCCCATTTAAATGAGTTCTCAAGGTTTAAATAGCTCTGACAGTTCCATTTTTAATTTTTTGAGGAAACTCCTCACTGTTTTCCATAGTGGATGCACCAGTCTGCATTCCCACCAGTAGTGTACTAGGGTTCCTTTTTCTCTGCATCCTCACCAGCACTTGTTGTTTATTGATTTATTGATGGCAGCCATTCTGACAGGTGTGAGGTGATATCTCATTGTCATTTTAATTTGTATCTCTCTGATGATTAGTGACTTTGAGCATCTCATAATATGTCTCTTGGCTATCTTCTTTAAGGCAGTGTCTATTTAGGTCCTTTTCCCATTTTTAATTTGGATTG